ATAGTGGTACATTATCTTGCCGCAACAATAAAGAGAACAAGGAAAGAAGAAGTGGGCTGCTATGGCACGAGGATATGGGTGATGAGGAAAGGTTATCCAGATGAGGCCCAAAACCCAAATGAAACCAAGTAACCCAATACCACTCTTTGATATGACGACTGATTTTCTAGACCAGGAGTGTCAAACTTAGGGCCCATGGGCCAAATCTGGGCTGTGGAGCCCTGGTACTCATGGACCAGACCCACGTTATTCGTGCTGCCCATAGGACCAGATGAGTTTGACACCCCGGATCTAGACCAAGGGAAGGAGATAGCTCTTACCTACCTCGACATCAGCAAAGCTTTTAACGCGGTACCGCCTGGGAAATGATCAGATAAGTTGGAGAAGGGGCAGGTTGCTACAAGGACAGTGAGAAGGTAAGGAACCAGTTGATAGGATGATGATGAACAGTTGCGTTCAAAGAGGAGCCGATCAAGCTGAAGAGCAGTCGTTAGTGAAGTTCACTGAGGAGTGGTCTCAGGACCGAGCGTATTTAATGTTTTCATTAAATAAAAGAGCATGCACAAAGAGGTAGGAGTGTGCTGATGAATTAGCCTGGCTGAGGACACAAAGCCTGGAGGTGTTATCTGTACAGAGGAGAATGGAGGCAGCCTGCAGACAGAGCGGGATAACCTCGAGGAAGGGAGAGGCAATTCAGTAATACAAATAGCAAGGTCACGGGCTGCTGCACCAACCGTGAGAACGTCTGCCGGAAGTTGGGAGCTCATCAGTTGAAAATGGCTGGGTGTATTACCCATTTGCAGGAAGACTACACCCCCCAATGTGATGTCCCCATGAAAAAAGGCCTATGCAACCCTAGGATGCATCAGGCAACGTATTTCCAGGAGAGACGAGGAAGTATTGATGCCATTGTACAAGACTCTAGTGAGAGCTCATCTAAAATATTGTACAGAGTTAGTGTCCCAGAGCAGAGACCTCCAGAGGCCACATTAGTCCAGCCCCCTGCTCCAGACAAGACCAGCCCCATCTAAACCATCTTAGGTAAGGGTTTAACTTATGACAAACTTCAGGAACAAGCCCTCGGGCACAGCTTAATCAAAAACACCAATTAACTTTCCACAGGTCAAGCACGGGGGAGAGGGCACCACCAACGCACTTCCACCTGCTCTCAGCTTCCACATTCAAGAACAATGAGTTGAATTTGGAACAGGAGCAGAGAGGGGCTAGAAAGAGGATTAGGGGAGTAGAGATCTATAAGAGCAAACAAAACAAGAGCTAAAAGAACATATGTTCCCTCTTTATATCTATATCAAGGGGGTGCCAACATTTGGGCTCAAGGGAATAGAACCAGCACTGAAGTCTTGTTTATGCATGTACAAGATGTCTTGGAAGGACATGTCCCAAGGAGGCCCGACAGCCAGCTCTGAAAACAGGTCCTATACTCCCAACTCACCAATGGTCACCGCGCTAGAGACAGAAAACAGAAGAGATTCAAGGGCACTTTGAAGGCGAATCTGAAGAAATGAGATATGAATGTTGATACCTGGGAGACTTGAGCACTGAATAATCCCCAATGGCACCGTGATGTACAAGGCATCAATCACTTTGTGCAAACTCACCTCACTACAGAGGTGAACAGACATGAGGGGCAAAGGAAAAGAGTCATAGAAAAGTGGAGCTGGAAGGGAGCTCCAGGGGTCACATCTAGTCCATCGTCCTGCCCAAGGCAGGATCAGCCCTGTGCAAACCATCCCAGGCAACCATAATTTAGACTCTGCATAAGACTACCCTCAACCTTGAAGCAGTGTAGACCTAAAACCCAAAGCTGCCACAGGTAGCAGGGGAGCCGCGGCAGCCGACGTCATGCTGACACCACCGGGATCCACTCCTTCCTTCCAGAACTACTTGCCACATCTGCAGTTGAACTTGGAGATCTTGGATCAAATCTCCTCAGCCATCTACAGACTCACCAATGACTTTCCTGTTGACTGGAAGACCATCACCCTTGCAGCAGGGACTGCAGACAACAACACTGTCAGGGAAAATGAGGGCTAAGCACTAAAGAGGGGAACGATCTATTTAAATGATAGAAGGATGGTAGCACAAGAACCAAGGGGCCTGACCTGGCCATGAAGAAATGTAGGTTGGAAATCAGGTGGCTTCCAAACATCTGAGCAGTGCGGTTCTGGGGCAGCCTTCAACAGGAGTCGCGGGGACAGAAAACCTGGCTCACTAGACGGATCCCTGGGAATACCTGATGCAATCACCTGCTACAGCCAGGGCCTGGAGGACTTGGATGCGCTGCGTTTCTGGGCACAATGCCCAAGAAGCTTTGCAGGTGATAAGCCATGGCTGAGAAGCACAGAGGGAGTGTGCTAAACCAGACAAAAGGAAGAACAAGAGGGTCAGAAACCTGCTGTTCTGGAGGCACCGGAGGTGGAGAATAGAAAGATCTCTCCTGGCATGACCCACCGGTTGCGCCCACAGCCTCCCCAGGCAGGGGCTCAGACAGACCCTAGGGACTGCTGCAAAACGCAGCAGCCACGTAGCCTGGGGTGCCGTGCATAGGCACCCCACAAACATGCTGCAACTAGTCTCCCCCATCTCTTGGGCGTGCATTTCTGCAGTGACTGGCCCAGTTTGCTGAAGGCACCATCTGTCATGACCAGCTCCAGTGCTTCCCTAAATGCTCTCCAAGGCAGCTTGCACCCAACGTACTTCTTTGACATTGCTCTTGCTATTCCTCCTTGCAAAGCTCAGAACCACTGCTCCTTCCTTGCTGAGCTGCCGGCCACCTTCGGCATCATCATCAATTCATCCCAAAATCTTGTGGCTTCTGGGACCCTGCCCTCTCCAGCCACCTCCCTAGTTGCTCCTTCCTCACATCAGAGCAAGTGCCTCATCATCACTCCCCCCAGTCCTCATTTCTCTCCTCTTCCCCAGCCTCTGGGTGCTCTCACCCAAAAGCATGGATCTAAGTGCTGTGTCTGAGCTGACACAGCTGAAACCTACCTCTGCTCCAGCCCAAACCCCTTGGCCTGTCCCCAAGCACTCAGACTCACAGCTTTCGTAACAGGAAGGGCCCGGTAGAGCACCTGGTCTGACCAAGAGCATCTTGTTACCTATTCATAGTTTCACAGTTTCTAGGGTCAGAAGGGACCTGAGCAGATCATCAAGTCCGACCCCCTGCCATGGCAGGAAAGAGTACTGGGGTCAAACGACCCCAGCAAGGTGTACATCTAATCTCCTCTTAAAGTCCCCCAGGGTAGGAGACCGCACCACTTCTCTTGGAAGTTGGTTCCAGACCCTAGCCGCCCTGACCGTGAAGTCGCGCCTCCTGATATCTAGCCTAAATCTACCCTCTGCCAGCTTGTGACCGTTGTTCCTGGTCACTCCTGGCAGTGCTCAGGGGAACAGAGACTCCCCCAATGCCTGCTGGTCCCCTCTGACTAGTTTGTAACAGGCCACTAGATCCCCC